CCCCCCCCTCCCTCTCTCCGGGTGTTTTCTTCCTCCTAACCCACATCACCGCTCCACTGGCCCGTCTATCAGAACCCATACAGCTGGGAGTTAATACCCTGTGGAAAGCCAAGGAAAGCCTGCCTAATGAAGCCAAACGACTCAGGCCCCACGATTTGGACAAAGTGCCATGCCCTCGGTGTTCCTCTAAAACCGTCTATCCCTTAAGTTAGATCAAACACTTTTTTTGTCTCAAAATATTATTTTATTCATAAATGCAATCACATTTGATAATAATTATGTCACTGACTTAGAACTACAAAGTTCTATCTGACCATTTTTGCCGTTTTGAGTTTCTAAGAACATGAGGTCAGAAAGCAAATGTTCTGTCTGCTCTATTAAAATCGTAAGACCATTTAAAGTCGTTATCAAGATATTCAAAATACTGCATTACAAAAAGCTTGACATGTTGTGAAACTAAAAATTTGCATCATCAAATTGTTCAAAACTAGGTACTGGGCAGACAGAGCTTAGTAAGTGTAAGGTAGTAGTGTGTCATGACGTGGCGGAATCAAGCGATCGTCAGTTTTAGGTATATGGAGTTATTGGTATTATTTTAAGATATGATTTTGAAGGAGGTGGGGATCGCCTGGTGTTAAAGGTAATATCAGCGACAAAATGACCGCCAAAGTTTTGTGACTTCCAAAGCTTGAGTGTCCTTGAAAATTGCAAATTAAAATTTTGTTTGCACATTTGAACAACAATTTTCTGGGAAATTCACAAAGAAAAATGTTTGTAAATAGACATAATAGGCGTTAAACAAAAAAAACCCAAGCAAACAACAACAAAATTATGTAAATAGCCCAAAAGGCGAAAAAATGTCTTGTTTCTTCGATTTTATTAATTTGTCGAGAATCTGATTTTACCGCGATGACACTCATTTTGTTATGTAAAATATATGGTCTGTATACAGTGTCGTCGTCATAACGTTCCATATCTGAAACAAACGTCGGTGATCACAATTCTTCATTCATTTTTCCGCTCATCATCATCATCATAGCCTTTCTCACCGTGCACCAGGGTATAGGCCACGGACTAACACTTTCCGCCTTTCTATATCCTGGGCTAGCCTCTTGATGTTATTCCATATCTTCTCACTTTTTGTACATCAATTTCTGTGATTATTTTCCAGGTTCCACGCGATCTTCCCCTTGATCTTTTACCGTGTGGATTCCAATCCAACACTTTCTTTGTTATGACTTTCTGAGAATGTCCAATCCATCGCCTCCGCCTTCTTCCTACCTCATCTCTGACTGGGGTCTGTCTTGTTATCCCTAACATTTCTTCGTTGGTGACCCTGTCTGTCCGTCTGATCCTCAGTAAGAAAACCTGGATCCTCTTTATTCAGGTCTTTTTTTTATTGTTTTGTTTTAGTAGAGGTTTTACGGCGCTCGCAACTGCATAAGGTCATTTTAGCGCCTAAGGGTGGATGTCAACAGAGAAGTCCTTACAGGGAATCAGGTTTACTCTGCTCACCTCTCTAGCTTCCAGAGCACAAAGTCTGCTTCGACTGTCAAGGCACCCCGGAAATAACGGGTCACAAGAGTGTGACAAACATACAAAAGAAGTAGAGGAAAATGACGATAGTTAAGATTAGGAAAGAAAAAA